TGGCAAGTACCTTCCATATTTGAGGAGTATCCTTATCAGACCAGTCTGTAAGTTCTACACTGCTACAGTGCTGTCCGACCAGCGGCCCAAAGCAGGTCCTGGAGGGTATGGTCTCTCTAGCAAACACACCTGAAGAAAACAAAAAGTGGCTTCAGCAATCACAATACAACAAAATCCGAAATTTTCAAAAGCAAATGGACTTCACTTCCCATTAACTACATTTAACAAGCTAACTGGTGAAGTCACTCACCCAAACATCGGTTAGATTTTATTTTAAGATGCCCTTGTTACAATCAAACGCATGAATTTGGACCAAAACATGTCTCTACTCAAAATCGGCATGCAAAACTTCATTACAATTTTTTTTAAAACAACATGCATTTACTATAGGGTTAGGGTTAGAATTAGGGTTTGCTTTAGGTTTAGTTGCATGTAATTATGCATAATTTACAGTTATTAATATAGTAAATACATGTAACGTTTAACAAGGACACTGTATAATGAAGTGTTACCCAAACATCTTCAACAACAATAAATGGAAAATAATTGTTTCTGACTACATTTTACCAGCAGTAAGATATTATATAACTAGATGTATAATTTATTAGAAGCATGTAGATTATTGGCCAATATTAGTGCTTTTTTCTAATTATTATTTAGCAGTATTCATTCAAATTGGATATATATTGTACGATATCGGATATTTATTAGTGTATGCTAATTTCTAAATAACTTTGCCCTCATCTAATGCTTACATCTTTAAAAACACTAATAATTTAAGAACAGTATTAAGATGTAATTTATAGCAAATCTCAAGATTAATATACATTTTTTATACTGTAGATGTATTATTATTATGTTGTCTGAATTTACTTGTCCCCTACATTTAAAACTATTTTAATTCTAGGTTTTTATTTATTTATTTAAAAACATCAAAATAAATATCAACAAATCTTTAATATCAATGAATCCATACATATAATAATATACTACAACAACTACAGGCTACACTTTGTTTTATGGTGTCATTGCTACAGAACTACAGTACTAATTATACAAATTAGTACTATTAATATTAATTAACAATATGTACTTACTAGAAGGTTAGGGTTTGGTTTCGGGTTAATTACTTGTATTTATGATATTGGATCATAAATACAAGCATAATCTATGGCATAATTTAAGCATAATTTACTGTTATTAATTTAGTAAGTACATGTAAAATGTTAAAAAGGACATTGCAAAATAAAGTGTTATTTAACTATATTGTGAGAATTGTATACAAAGCATGTACCAATGGGTTCATCAGCTACAGAAATGCGGAGGCACAGGGGGCGGGGCAGAGAGAGGCGGGCTCTGCTCTGAATGGGTGTGTCTGGGATGAATGTGACAGGTCCATGCTCAGGGCAGTCCGACGGATATGACCGTTCACATAAAGTGCACCCTAAAAGACAAACAAATACATCAGATTGGACCGAAATACTTCCACTACTCAAAATCGGCACGCAAAACTTACATATGTTGAAGGCAGTGGCCATGTTTTCCTTGTTAGATGTTGAGTCTTCTAGTTGCAAGTTAGAGTTCACCAGCACCAGACTGTTGTCCGGTCCAAGAGACACTTCTGCAGTGATGGCTGACACGTTAACAGGCTCAAGTCCCATTCCTGAAGGTCCATGTAGAGATACTGGTTCTAGTTGAGCCTGTGGCATCATGGCCCCCGTGAGCACCACACTAACCACCCCAGAGTTCAGTTCTCCAGTGGAGTGCAAGGCTTCACTCAGCGTCCCTGGACCGCCTGCTCCTGTAGTGCTGGTTCCTACTCTGCCGCCCATGTGCTCTTGCTCCATCACCACCGGGAGCTCGAGACCTGCTCCATGCAGGGGCATAACACCTCCTGAGGAGTCCACACCTGCCAAACCATCATGAGGCTGAGGTCTGGTACCTAGCTGCTGCTGGGTCTCTGCCACCACGACACCCTCCATGGTGGCCAAGTCTTCTTCCATTCCATCAGGAGACATCGGACTACTTACACGTGACTCCATGGTTAACCCGGTGGCGTCCAGCTGCACTTCGTGAGAGCCTCCTTGGTGGAGATCAGCCTGGCCTCCTACCTGTCTTGTGTCTAGAGTCACCAGGCCTTGTTCTAGAGGGCCGCCGTGGCCGCTGTACAGGTCTAAGCCAGATGGGTTGTTGTTGGACACGGAAAGAGTCCCATCCATGTTAAGGCTGCTGGGATGAATGTACTGGGGAGGAGGACGATCTGCCAGATATGACAGAATACCTAGAGATTTCAAAACAAAAAAACAAGATATGTTTAAAGATATGTCAAAATATGTTTCAGCAGAAATAAAATATTTTATATGATATATTATTTCTGCCAACAATACAATTTAATTAAAGCTTTAGAGCAAATTAAGGACACATAAATTACATTTTGTATTTATAGAAAAAAAAAAATCTGTATATACAAATGTATACTAAATGAGCTCAAAGTGCATTTTGGCAACCGTTTTTTTTTTTAAATATATTATTTTTAAAAATAAATGTAATTATTTAAAAATGTATTTAAACATTGATATTAAATGCTTAATTTGCTCTAAAGCTTTAATAATGGAATGTATTTTTAGCAGAAATAATATATTCTATAAAAAATATTTGTTTCTGCCAACAAAAATGAATAAAAATGAATTTGCTCTAAAGCGTTACTTAAACATATAAAAAAAATATTTAGACTTTTTTCATAATATTTAATCTCTCTGTTTGACAAAAAGTGGAACAGTGAATCCAGGATCCTTGCAAAAATTGTTAAGATATGTTATGTTAGTTATTAATATAAGATATTATAATGTATTATTAAGAAATTCTAGATTTGTTGTACATTAGGGGAATCCCTGGGTCCAAAAAGATGGTCAGCCCCTGGTTTAAAGTACACCTTAACAGTTTTTCTGTAACATTACCTGGAAGGATATGTCGGAAGTAGCTGCTCTCCAGGTGTGGGTATGGAGGAGGTGGTAATGTATAATTTCTCTCTGGAAGGCCACACATAACACCTCTGTCCCCTAAAGGTCCCATGGGTAACATCAGGGACAGTGCAGAAGGAAGAGGCCCAAGTGATGGACCCAAGCTGGGTATAGCGACTGGCATGCCTGAAATAAAGCCAGATAGTGTTACTTCTCCATACATTAAAATTCCCACACCATACCAAACAAATCTCATGCCAACATATGTATACACATTAAGAGGCATTCGAGTCCTGACCTGGAGTGGTGATGGGATTGTGTGTTGGGGATGTGGGGAGGCCGAGGTGACTTGCAATCACAGGCGGCACACTGAGCTGGTCCATGCCCACTGGGCTGAGGTTCATGTCATTCATGCTGAACAGAAGAAATGTTATTGCATTTGAAATACAACTCGTATATTATTGTGCTTGTGTAGAAACAGACGTGTGATTAAATGATATGTTTCTTTACCTGACAGCACAGATCACTTAAGGCATTGATGTGATGGATGCATTCTAGGATCTGGAAAAGGGAAGGATTAATCTTTTTAGTAATTAAAACATTTAGTTTAGATCACAACATTCTAACATCAGCCTCTTTAAGACAGGTTTTATAGTCATTCTGGCTATTCATTTACTTGACAAGCTGTTTTAGTCACTAAACTGATAACGAAATACTAATAACTCATAATAAATACAAATATTATCTATGTAAAGTCAAAGAAATATGTAACCAGACATCGACAAGAAAGCCAATAATGCAGCCAGTGTTTGAAGCTACTGAGTTAGCCAGTTAACTCGCCTAAGAGAAATGCAATAACAGAAGGTGCTCATCTCAAGGTGTTTATATTATATAAAAGACAAACAAATAATTTACCTACAATAAAGGGCAAATATTAATCCTTCCGTGGAAGATTTGTGGTATGAAAACAATAACATGGCTAAAGACAAACAGTGTGACTCAAGGCGGGGTTGTGTTTCAAAATAAGAGTCCCTCAATATGTTCCGTCAATGCAAACAAGCCAGACTGATTCAGTGATTGATTTACGTTTGTATTTATTTAATATATATAAACTACTATATATAACCAATAATAGTGTGGAGAAATATCAAATAATATAAAATTTCAAATAATGATTTAAAAAAATAGTTATTTGAAATGTTTTATGAAAAGTTCAAATATTTTTAAGGGTAGAAAGAAATGGCTCTCTTTCTGCCTGTATGACCACAAAGGCAATTCAAAGATTTTTTGGGGGGAAATCTAACTTTTAATTTGAAATATAATCCCAGTTTCCGGTGTCCTTGCGCACCGGAACAGAAAAGCGCTGTGACTGTTCGTCTGAAAACCTGCTGCGTAATCTCGCTTCTAGAGTCACTAACCAAATTTATTACAAAGAAAAAAAAAGCAGTCATGCCTGATTATTTAGGAACCGAGCAACGCAAAGTAAAAGAAGAGGAGAAAGAAGACAAACCAATCCGAGGTATTATTTGCGAGGACTTTCGGGTGGATTTTAAATTAAATGAATTAGCAGACAGATTAGCATTTAGTGACTAGCCGCTCTGCAGTTGAAATTTGTCAACAAAAGCCGAATCAACTAAACTCAAACTATTTTAATGTCATTGTTTCAGACTTTATTTCGCTACCGTTCATTATATGAGTTGTCAGATGTCTCAGTATTACTTATGTCAGTCTGTACTAGCCTGTAATTTATGCATATCTCATTTATTTATCTGTCTTGACCTGTTTTATTTCTCAGCGTTGGATGAAGGAGATATTGCACTCCTGAAAACCTATGTAAGTATTAGTACTAAAAAAATGACTGTTTGGCATTCAGATGGACTTCATTTAGTATAAGTAATAGCAATGTTATTGTAATTAATTCACTGAGTTTTGATTGTGAATAGGGCCAAAGCACGTATTCTAGACAGATTAAACAAGTGGAAGATGATATTCAACAGCTTCTGAAGAAGATAAATGAGCTCACAGGTAAGTGCGCTGTCATTGCGTTGTGAGAAATTAATTTGATGGATCACTGCTTTGTAAAGCACATGCATTGATGCTGTATTTTGTGTGTCTTGCAGGTATTAAAGAGTCTGATACAGGTCTGGCTCCTCCAGCATTATGGGATCTGGCTGCAGACAAACAGACTCTACAGAGTGAA